AGGTACACCAGTTGTCCTTTCTGGATTGGGATGTCGTATTCTCTGTCACAGTGTTGTTCATGTCGCTTCTCAGCCTGTTGCTTGAGGTGCTCCCCTGCTCTTTGGTATGCATCTCTCAGTCTTGCCTGGTGTTCTGTTAGGCAATCAGCATGGTTTTCATCAACGTTTTCATCTTCACCCAGGAGTAAATCAATTGGAAGTCGAGCTCCCCATCCAAACATGAGAAAGTGGACTGTATGTTGTAGATGAATGTGGTGTAGCATTGTAAACATACAACAACTCTGGTAGGTATTCTGGCCATTTACGCTTCTTTGCTGGTGAGAGAGTTCTAAGCAGGTCATGCATTGTTCTGTTGAACCTCTCACATTGTGCATTTCCTTGTGGGTGGTATGGGGCCGTTCGTGTCTTCTTGATTCCATTAAGTCTACAAAGCCCAGTGATAACTTCACTTTCAAAGTTTCTTCCTTGGTCTGAATGAACTCTGAGAGGAATTCCATACTTAAAAAACCATTCTTTTACAAGGACTTTAGCTGTTGTAGTGGCTTTCTGATCTCTTGTTGGAACTGCACATGTGAACTTTGTGAAGACATCTGTCATAACAAGGACATTCTCCCTTCCATCTGTTGCTGGTTCAAGGACTGTAAAGTCTATTGCTAAGATTTCAAGTGGCTTGGTTGCCACCAGGCTTCCCATAGGTGGTTGGATCCTGGGGTTTGGCATCTTTGCCAGAGTACATCGTTCACAGTTCTTGATCCAATTCTCCACATCTGAATACATTTTGGGCCAATAACATCGTTCTCCAATCAGTTGAAGGTTTCTCTCTAATCCCTGATGTCCTGTATCATCATGCAGGCTGGTAATGACTTTTTCTCTCAGACTGGCTGGTAACAGGAGTTGTTTCAGTTCTCCAAGTTTGGGATCCTGTACAACTCTGTATATCAGACCTTGGTCTCTTGTAATTCTATTCCACTGTCGTAACAGGGTGACACACTGGTGGGAAAGTCTTCTCCTCTCATCAAGGGTTGGTTTTGTGCCTTTCTCCCAGAACTTCATAAATTCCTTGATTGTAGGGTCTGCCTTTTGCATGTTGATAAGCTCTTTCTTTGTATGAGTGGGGAATGAGGTTGTAGCAATCACAGTATTGTCTCTAAGTAACTTTTTATTTTCATCTGATGTTAGATTGACTGTGGAGAGATTAAGGTCTGGTTCATGTACGGCCATTCGTCTCACTTCTATTGGGATGGGTGTTGTTACAATTGCATGACTCAGGTCAGGTGGTGCAGGAGTTTCCATGGTGAGTATGGACTCTATATGTAATAGTTCATCTTCTCTTGACTCTTCTGTTTCGTCCGGCACTGGTCCATGAGGTTGACGTGATAAAGCATCAGTGTTTGCATTGGATCTTCCACTCCTGTAATTGATAGTGAAGTCAAATAAAGCAAGCTGAGCTGCCCATGGTTGTTGTAAAGCACCAAGCTTGGCAGTTGTTTGCAAGTACTTCAAGGGGTTGTTGTCAGTGAAGACTTCAAATTTTGAACCAAGCAGGTAGGTCCGGAATTTCTCAGTCACAGCCCATTTTAGAGCTAACAATTCCAGCTTCATGGAGCTGTAATTTCTCGGGTTCTTTTTTTCACTTGGCCTCAACCTTCTACTTGCATAGGCAATGACTTTGCGCTGACCATCCTGGTCTTGAGACAGGACTGCTCCAAGTCCAACATGACTGGCATCTGTTTCCACAATAAATGGTTTGTTATAGTCTGCAAAACCTAACACTGGTGCGCGAGTCAACTTTGTCTTCAATGCATCAAATGCAGTTTGACATTCTGAGTTCCATCGCTTCATGAATGGGACATTCAATTTTTTTCTAATTTCAGCTTGTGCCAACAGTTGTTCACTAATTGGTGAAGTGGTCCAGCAATTCTTGCAAAGTCTTTGACAAATCTTCTATAATAGCTGCAGAATCCAAGGAACGATCTAAGTTCTTTGACAGTCGTTGGTGGTTTCCACTCTGATACAGCTCGTGTCTTGTTTGGGTCTGTTGTAATAGCATCAGATGAGATCTGGTAACCAACATAAGTGACTTTGTACTGGAGGAACTTACACTTCTCTGGTTTGAGCTTTAGGCCATGCTCTCTGAGCCCTGTGAAGACTCTGTCTAGTCTCTCAATGTGCTCATCAAAGTATTAGAGTAAACAATTATGTCATCTAGGTAGACGAGCAGTATTTGGAATATGTAATCGTTCAAACAAGTCTGCATAAGCCTTTGGAAGCTGGCAGGACTGTTAGTCATTCCCATGGGCATTCTGTTGTATTCAAAAATTCCGAACAGTGTCGTAAAAGCAGTCTTGTGTCAGTCCTCCTCATTCATAGCAACCTGATTGAACCCACTTGCCATATCCATTGTTGAAAATAATTTTGCATTACCGATGGCATCAATTGACTCTTCAATTCTGGGCAAAGGGAACTGATCTCTGATTGTCTTGGCATTCAGACGTCTGTAATCAACACATAGCCTCAAGGAACCATCCTTTTTTCTAACTAACACAATAGGTGGAGGATAAGCACTGTCACTTTCTTGGATGATACGATTATCCAGAAGCTTTCGTATGTGATCCTTTGCCTCTTGAAACTGGTTTGGTGGGATTCTACGGTACGGTTGTGCCACTGGTACTTGATCTATGGTTGGGATCTTATGTTTGACTGTCTCTGTGTAGCCAAGATCATTTTCATCCTTTGTGAAGATGCTTGCATGCTTCTGAAATAGGTTCTCAAGCTTGTTTGGTTGTTCATGGGTACATTTTACATCTGATAAATCAGTTGGGCACACAGAGGGTTGTTCTTGCTTGTTTTCTGTTGTGGATTCTCTGACAAACACCATCGCTTCATTGATTGATACTCTTTTGAAGTCAATGTTGTTTTTAGTATCCTCAACATCTTTAACCTCAAGAAGTACTCCTATCCGAGTGTGGGGTTGAAGCCAAACGTCTTCGTCAGTAACATTGGCAACTCTTACATGGAGCTGTCCATTATTTACATGAATAAGAGTACTGATGATAACAAGATTTCCTGGCACATGTCCATTCAGTGGTTCCACAAGGACAGCAGTGTTTCTTGTTTGGGGTCCTTGCCACCCATTGATTCTAACAACAGAAACTGATCCAGCTGGGACTCTAATCTGAGACTTTCCAGCTACTTTTGCAAAACCACGGACTGAGATGGAGTTGGTTCTGGTCGTAATCTCCAATACTTAGCTCCACTGAGGGGAAGTTCCTGTTTTTCCATTCTTAAAAGGTTCGTGCAGTTGGGCAATTATGTTCATCCCATGTCCAAGGGATAATCTTCTTGCGTTACCTAGCCTCTTGACTCGCTGGACTCTCTACAACTAAAATTCCTCTTCGTGGGATCATGACTCCCAAGGCTTCAACGTCCAGTTCTAGATACCCAATGTACGGTATCACTAGTCCATTTGCTGCAGTTAATTTCAACCAATCGCCAGTAGGTAAAAGAGTTTTTCCTTGCAGGCGAAAGTGGTCATTGAAAAATTCTTCTGTAATTGTAGATACTTCAGATCCTGAGTCTAGAAGGCAAGGTATATCTCCACCCAATCGTACTGTGACCACTGGGCACTTTCCAACTGCCTTTTCGTATATGGTTGACATATTCTCATTTGAGCCATTGTTGTCCCCTTCTGTCACTTGGTTCCTTGTGACAGGGGGCATTAGTTTGGCGACTTGTCAGGGTGCAGTTTACCTTGTGGTGGACCTCCCCTGACAGCTAGGTTGTCCTTTGTTCGGCAGTTCCTGGCAATGTGTCCATTGCGGTTGCATTTGAAGCAAACAACGTTAGAACGCTGTCCACTCCATTCCTTGGCTGGGTGTTGGGTCCTTGGCTGCTTGAGGTCTCTTATTGAACTCGTCAGTTCTTCTAAGGAATTCTGTTGCTTTAGAAGGGCATCCAAAACCTTATCCATAGGGGTGGTGGTGGAACTAGCGTGGCACTGAGAGCTCTCAGGTGCAGCAGTCGATACTTCTTGGGATAGCGGGGTTCTAGGCATAATTCGCTGTGGTCTTTCTTCCTCTTCTGACCAGCATAGTGCCTCTTCCCTCAAATCCAAGAATGAAGGGTCACGCTCCCTGATGAACTTCTTCAGTTCTTTTCGAACGAAAGGATCCCTCACATTGTCCACAAATTGGTCTCGCAGAGTCTTCTCTGGGTCAGGGACTGCCTTTGGATCTGCTTTTGTCCCGTTCTTGAGTAGCTCATTTAAGGAATACGAGTATGCTCGAAGTTTTTCACTTTCCTTCTGCTTTCTCTCATAGAAGAGCTTTAGGAGTTGGGAGCTTGAACGTTTCTCCCCAAATGCCTGTGTAAGAATATGCAGGAGGAAGTCTGGGTTGCTTCTATCCTTCTTGCTGTACATTTGCACCTCTTCCTTGGCTGGCCCTTCCAGATGAGACATTATGAAATCCACTCTCTCAGCTGGTGTCATTTCTCTCACCTCGAAAGTAGTCTTCACTTCTTCAATAACGTCCTCAACTGGCTGGTCATCTTCTGTCTTCCTTCCGGTGAAATTTTTTTATTTTCTTATCTCGAGGAATGACAACAATCTGCTTCTGTCCATTTGTACTAGGTGTCGATGGTTGTGATGATGACGCTGTAGCAGACTCTTTCAGGGCCTGGAGTTGGTTCATAGCTTCTTTATACTTCTTGGTCGATTCTTCTAGGTCTTTCTTCAACTGCTCACCAGACATGATGATTCACTGCTAATGCTGTTATTGCAATCACCCTTTTTTATA